TTCTAAACTCATGGGAATCACCTAAAAAGGAGCAACACACAGCAATATGATTCTGCCATTCGTGTTCAGTACTAATTACTTAGTACTCTTTCATCCTCTGGATTTATTATATGTAGTAGTGACAGTGTTATATTGGCTTTTTTAAAATGTCCTTCATTTGACTGTACACGCTAATATATTAGTGTGTAACATTCAAGCTTTTTTTTTTCTCCTCCCTGTTAAACAATATGCTTCCCTTGCCTTTGAAGAACTTAGATGCTAAAGAAAGTAGGGAACATTCATTAAGATGAAACCCAGCAAAGGACCCATCCTGTTTTCCCTCTTACTGGAAAAGGCTACAGCACATGACAGTTAGCAACACTTTGTTACAGAAACTGCATGGATGGACTGGACAAAACAACCATCCCAACAGAAAGGAGCCATCCTAAGGTGGCCTCTGTTCTGCATTTTTACTTCCAATTAACACTGAAAATTGTGGCTATACTGTAATAATTGCAGTTTTTTGTTAATCTGTAAAGTTTATTGTAAACTATTCCTATGGTTTAGTGAAACCCAGAAAGGAATTAAACTGCAAAGTAATAGGGGGTGCCTGGGTGGCTCAGTCGGTTAAGCGTCCGACTTCGGCTCAGGTCATGATCTCACGGTTTGTGAGTTCAAGCCCCGTGTCGGGCTCTGTGCTGACAGCTCAGAGCCGGGAGCATGTTTCAGATTCTGGGTCTCCCTCTCTCCCTGCCCCTCCCCCGTTCATGCTCTGTCTCTCTCTGTCTCAAAAATAAACATTAAAAAAAAGTTTTAAATAAAAAAATAAACTGCAAAGTAATATAATTACTTACTATTATATAAATAGCATATAAATATAAATAATGTGTTTATTATTACTGTTTCTCCTATTAATATTGTTTATTTTACTTTACTGGATTTTATAGGAGGCCCAGTTTACTCCCAACAACTCTCTGAAAAACACTACTATTTGAACCTACACATTATACACTGGATCTCAAATTGCTTTTCTTCTTTTTTCCTTTTCTTTTTTCTCTTTCTGTTCTTTTTTTTTTTTTTTTTTTGCAACAACTTGACACAACAGAGTTGTGTCTAATTTCAAGACATTTTCATCACTCCCAAACAAAACCCCATTTCCATTAGCTCTTGGTTTCCATTCCTCTTCACCCCCAGCCCCCTGGTAGCCCCTTATATAATCTTTCTCTCTCTATGGATTTGCATGTTCTGGATCTTCATATAAGAAGAATCAGGCAATATGAAGTTTTGTGACTGGCTTTTCAACTCAGTATGATGTTTTCAAGGTTCATCAATGGTGAAGCATGTATCGGTACTTCATTCCTTTTTTATTTTATATAATATTCCATTGCATAGATGCGTCACATTTTATTTATCCATGCATCAGTTGATACACATTTGAGTCGTTACATCTTTACCTGTTATGAATAATGCTGCTATGGATATTCATGTACAAGCTTTTGGGTGAACACATGCTTTCATTTTTCATGAGTATACACCTAGGAGTGGGCATGCAGAGCCATATGGTAAATCACATATTTTTAACATTTTGAGGAACTGCCAAGCTGTTTTCCAAGATGGCTGCCTCATTTCACATTCCCACCCACAACATACGAAGGTTCTAATTTCTCCACATCTTCGTCAACACTTATTGTTATCAGTCTTTTCAATTATAACCATCCTAATGGGTATTAAATGGTGTTTCATCGTGATGTTAGTCTGAATTGCTCTAGTGGCTATAGTTTACATTTCTCTCATTGCTAATGACATTGAACATCTTTCCCTATATGTACTGTCCATTTGTTTATCTTCTTGGAAGAAATATTTATTCTTATCCTTTATTCATTTTTAAATTGGGTTCTTTGTCTTTTTATTTTAGAGTTGTAAGAAATTCTTTTTGGGTTCAATTTCACTTGTATTGAAGTAGTCTTTGGTGGCTTCTTCAGTGAAAGTCTCTTTGATGTTAGACTCCCTTTTTTGAAAATGTCTTTTTTTTTTTCATCATTATCTTTGCTCTATCTTCTGGTGACAGTCTGTTACCCCTGGGTTGTGGAAACATTCCTGCAGGAATGTTTGCTTGCTTCTGCTGGTCCCAGGAGGTTTCAGGTGTTTCACTTTGAGATCTCCATGATGTTAAATCAGACTCCACATTCATGCATGGCCCACTTGAGGGGAAGGCGGTGCTGTGGACTGAAATCACCAACAGAATCACCTTTCTTTTTCTTTTCTACTCAGAACCTGAAGAGATGACCAGCTTTCTTGGACAGAAGGCAGAATTTTTCCAAACCTCCTCTCACGAGGGGGTCCCAGATTTATGAAGGAGTCTCAGTTTTAGGTCCTTATCTCATGTGAACCCAGGCCATGTCTTTTCCCCTCTTCCTGCTAAAGTGATACTCTCAGGGACATCATATCATCGGTGCCTACTGTTCTGCCTGTGAGTTTCCACATCACTTCTTGAATCTTGAACTTTCCTATTATTGCTCTGGAGCTTACTTTTGTGTTATGCATTTCTGTGTGTTGCAACCTGAGAGAGTCATACACTACACACAGTATGCATTGGATTACAGATCACTTTTAAGAGTGATGCCTCCCATGGAGGTGGTGACTGTGATTTATAAGTATATAGGTATGGCTGAAAAAAGCAGAATACCAAAGGCCTTCTAAATAGCCACAACAAATAAATGAAATGTTGTCATCAGTTTACAATTGCCACTATTTGAAGAACCTCTCAGTATATCTGTCTCTTAATCCCAATCTCCTGAAGTATGTGCTAAAACAGAGGTATCCTAGTCCTGATGGTTTCATCTCATATATACGATTAGCCCTACAGATCAGAGCTGCCAGAAATTATTTAAGTTGTTCTCAGGGATCCGTGTAGAAGTTTCCCCTCAACTCCTCACTAGAAATCATTCTACTGCTTATACATTTTTTTAAATGACCTGCCGAAGTGGAGCAAGTCTGACACTGGTAAGTACTGAGGGTCATGGTAACAAGTCTTCAGTAAAATAAGATCAGCAACAGAGTAGACTATCACCTGACACTAAATCTGGTCTAGTCAAAGTTCTTGGAATTATCTCTATTCTGATTTCAACTGCGGTGACGGAGTTTATGTAAACCTTGGTGAAAAATAGATCTCAATTGTTCCACCTAAACTCTGAACCCTTTTGCTCCAAATAGGTGTGTAATAAGATATCCTGTACCCGGTGCATAGATGTCAGTGAACATCCAGGGAACAAGCAAGTAATTTTTTTGGCTGCGGTTTTCTGGGTTTGCTGTTTTGGAGACAAGGAGAGAGAAAGAGAGAGAGAGAGCAGAAAAGGGCCAGAGAGAAAGGGAGACAGAATTCAAAGCAGGCTCAAGGCTCTGAGCTGTCACCACAGATTCCGAAGCAGGGCTTGAACTCATGAACCGCGAGATCATGACCTGAGCAGAATCCAGACGCTTAACTGACTGAGCCGCCCAGGCGCCCCATATATTTTCAAATGGCACTCCAGAAATGAGAAAAAGAACCTAGCATAGCCAAGATGCGGGTGTCCAAAGCAGCGTCTGATTCACAGTAAATGCTCAGTAAGTGTTATGTGAAAGACAGCTTTGGGTGAGCACCCCTGGAAATACAACACAAAATAAGGAGTGGTGGCTACTTTCAAGGATCTTACAATTTTGTTAAGGAAGTGTAACAAAAATAGCTAATAATTAAAACATATCATACAATTTAAATAAGAGTGAAAGCCTAAAGATAAGCGACATTAGCCACTCTGTAATTAATTATTAATGTATGTTTTAAGTACTTCCTACAGTTTTCTGGAGTTCAGAATTTAGGAAATTTTAGACAACAGAGCTTAAAGGATTTAGAATTAGAGCTGCATATTTTGAGGGAGTCCCAGGAAAATACTCAAGGTGGTCCTAAAACCCATAGATTACCATGTAACCATTTTTCTTTTTTATGTGAAAGATGAAAAGAAGGGATTATGATCCTTTTCCTTTATCAAGATTGCCAAGCAAGATCACTCTGCCCTTTCCTGTAAGATTCCTGCAGACCTGCTCCAGGAGTGAGTAATGAGCACATCTGCCGCTTAAGGCCGGGTGTTCATCCTCCTTCCCAGTAGAAGTCCCTGCATACTGATTAAGGAGGCAGGGAGGTATCCCTTTGTTTCCACACCAACTCAGAGGATTGGCATTTACCTACTGAGGTAGTAATTTAATTTCACCAGGAGCTCTCAATCTCTCCCCCAGGTAAAGTACCGAGGGCAAAAAAAAAAACGTCAAAACACACCCCTTGCCAGAGGGCTAGCCTCATCTATCTGACCCAGCTTTGAAGTCTAGGATCATTTGATATTTGCAGAGTCCCACCTTTAGGACTAAAGATGAAAATGATAAGGGAAAAATCCTACGATTATTTGACACTGCATTTGCTAGGGAAGAAAGGAAATAGAGTATCATTGGTCTTGTTCTCTTGGAGCTCTGAAGTTTCCTTTTCATTGTTTATCAAAAGAAGAGGTGCACAATCTATTCCAGAGACAAAGCATTTCCCAGAGACATTCGAGAGACACTGAACAAAAGAGGACTAGGGTCTGAATGGGCACAGTGTGCTAGGGAGCACCCTGAAGGTGAGAGGAATGAAGCAAGCAAAATTCACACTGGCAAGAAACCAACAGGCATATTTAGGGGATTGTGAATGAGCCAAGTTGGCTGGTAAAGATGATTTCTGTAACAATATAATGGGATATGAGGCATGATAAATGGAAGTTGAAACTAGGCTGCCGAGTACCTTGAAAGCTGTACTATAGAGGATCCTGCAAATGTCAAGGAACCATTTAAAGTTTCTGACTCAGGAAGCAACAAGATCAAAAGGAGTTTTAAAAGATAATTTTCTGGCTCTATCTAGGTGAGACTAGATGGGAAAGTTGAGAAAAAGGAGACTCATGGTGTTCGCAAATCAAGACACCATCATCACATCAGGGTGAGGATTGTTGGGAAAAAGAAAGGGAAGAAAGTCTCTGAGTGGTACATTCCAAGGCTGGTTAACTACCTGGATGAGGGTGGTATCCATTAAAACCAAGGACAGTTATTGTCAGCTGCCTGAACCCTGAACTGACTGACAAAGCCACCAAGGCCCTCATACCTAAGACACCATGGATCAGAAAGAATGGAGACCTACCCGTCACCATTCATTCCTTCTCCTGACTTTATTATTCCTATGAGATGATGCTGGCCTGGGATAAGTTAACTGTCACAAGTGTAATTTCCCACACGTGCTCTCACAGATGACGTTTGAGCCTTTGTTGGTTATTCTTCCATCTTCTATGTCTTTTCTTCTTGGCCCAGTTTCCTCTCTGCAAATTCTCAACATTAAACTATTTACAGTGGCTTTGTCAAAGACTACTCCCAGATAACATTCATGTTTTCTTTAGGCTTGTTGGGTTTTAAATAAAGACTCCCCTAAATTATCCAAAGGAGAAAGAGGTGTGTTGGAAGAATATGTATGAATGGCAATGGGAACCGGAATTTGCAAGGGGGACTCTCCCTCCATCTCTATATCAAGGACTGTGAGTTCTCTGCTCTTCTCTGTACACCTGCTTGAATCGTACTCCTGACAACCTTCCTTGGGTAAATCCTGATTCCTTATTCTCCATTACTTTGATTTGTACTGAACCATCATGGACATTCAGCCCTGACTTACCTCATGATCTTTCAGCTACAGCTTTTGTCTATGTTATTTTACTAGTACACAGTACAGAGAAAGAAACGGAGAAAATCTAATTGGCCACATCTATTTCTGAGCTAGGACAGAGTTTATATGTCATTATGTGACCCTGAGTTTGTATACCATAGGCTAACCTATGGGTTGGACACATTTAGGTCCAGGACTCACTTCTGCTATGAAGCGATGCAAAGAGAGATGAAGAGCGTTGCAAAACATACCATCATTTTGTTGGAGTGTATGCTGCTGTAGCAAATTACCACAAACCACACAAAATATCTTCTAGTTCTGTATTTTCGAAGTCTTACTGACACAGGTGTCACCAGGCGAAGATCAAGTTGCCCTACGGCCACATTCCTTTTTGGTGGCTCTAGGGGATCCAATTCTGTGCTTATTCAGGCTATCGAGAGAATTTACTTCCATGTGACAGCAGAACCGAGGTACCTGCTCCCTCTTCGACTGTTACGTGAGGACTCATCCTTCTTTTATAGAGAACCCACCTTCAAGGTCCCTCCCCCATCTTCAAAGCCAGTAATGGTGAGGTAAGTCTCTCTCACAGTTTGAACCTTTCCTCTTCTTGACAAACTTCTGACCACAGCCAGAAAAGTTATATGCTTTTAAGGACTCATGCCATTAATTTGGAGCCACTCAGATAGTCCAGGTTTATTTCGCCATCTCAAAGTCCAAACACTTAATCATAATTGCAAAGTCCCTTTTGTGCATCAGGTAACATTCGCAGGTTATGAGGATTAGTGTGAGACAACTTTAAGGTGCCAATATTTAGTTCCATGTATTAGTATTCTGCCGACCACAACCCCCAAATATCAAAGCCTACAAAGGGAGTTGTTTTCCTTTGGAAAGAGAAAAAAGATAGGGACAGGCAGACTTTACAAATACACCTAGTTCACGACAGCAATTTTGCTCTCCCCAGTCTGGATCCATCCATTTCTATCCTTTAAAATTCAGCTGCAGTCCAATCTCCTCCAAAACTTTTTTTAAACAACTTGAGCTCATATTATTGCATCCTTTCTCAGACTACATGTTAAATTCATGAGCAATGCCAGTTTTCCCCCATTATTCAAATTTATTAATTCAATCATCCATTCATTCAGTAACACTTACAGAGATTTTGTTAAAGGAACTCCTATATAACAGTTATAAATATGAATATGTATCATTATTGACTTCAAGGAGCACATGTATTTTATGATCATTTATTTTGTTTCCTTAACAAAAATGCTAGCTTCATGAAGGAAGAATCACACGTTTGGTTCTTTCACAGAATGCTAAGCCAAGGCACAATCAGTAAATAAAAGAATGACCAATTGCTAAAAGTAAAAAAAAAATCACTTCAAACTACAGACATTTAAGCACAAACTAGTAATTTAAATTGCATTCAGAATGGGAGACTTGGCATTATTTACCACACATCATCTCATTTTTAAAGTACCTTGTCAGGTCATGATTACATAAAATTAATAGAACTATACTATTTCTTAAAACAATTTTTCTGTCCTGTAAATCAATATATCTACTCCTATCAAAGGGAAGTTTCCTGTCAAAATATGTCAAGCGTGACTGACGACTGTCCTATGGTTATGAAGAATACACTGAAAACTTAGAGATAAATCAATAGGGAGTCACACACTATAATTTTAAAGAAAAAGCATTTAACACACAAGGCCAGTATTTAATGAAAACTTGTAAAACCCAAAGTCCACCCTTTTTCTGACTAACAATACTTATATTTAAAGTAATCTGTGGTTCATCAAAATACAGCTGGAGACATTAAACTTAGTTCAATCGTGAGGCTTCCATTTGTTATTGAAGAACTAAATAATAGTTGCTTCTAAACAGGTAGGTTTCAAACGAATTTGACCAGAACCCTCAGCTTGAGGCATATGTTACCCTGTGACCAACTACATATAAATGCATAATACTGAAACAAAGCTTTCATAAAATGTCTTCTCTTTATTACATGCCTATGTACTCTGCCATTTTCTATTCTAATGTATTTTACTCAATTCTATTCTAGTCTTTTAAAACTACAGCATGTAACCTAAAAAACTGATTTCATAACCGATTAATAGATCACCGATAGGATGGAAAACTACTGTTTCAAGCTGTTCTACACAATCCATCTAAGAACTTAGAAACATATTTTCTCATTATTAATTAAAACAATCTATGAAAAATAACACACTTTTTACTTTTACAAAACAGAATAGGGTAATTTGCTAAATTATACTTAAATGTATTATCCATCATTATAAATTATAATGGATAATATAATATAATATAATATTATCCATCACTATAAATTATAGTTTTATTTACTTTTATTTATAGAAATGCTCAAGAAACTGATTTGAACTTTGTTTAATATTTATTATTTGGTGTCAGCAGAGAAAGAAACTTATAAATATTTGCTAAACACACTGTCTGTTTTCAGTTTAGATTTGTAAATACTCTTAGCTCACAGGTAAACTGAAAATGTTATTTTGAGTCACCAGTGTGGATCAGAACAAACATTCTTACGCATACAAAAGCCACAACAAAAAAAAGTGCAGTATATTTTTCCACTAATAAAAGAATACAATTGACAGAATGAAATGTTAAATCAAAAAACCAGGCTTGAAACACTGAAATTAATAACATCTACAAATAGAACCTTATCAAAAACTTCTGATCTGGAACCATAACTCTCACAGTCACTGGTATCATGCAAATTTCTACCAACAGAAAAGAGGTGACTTGATTGCCATGAAAATATCCCAAGTATGTTAGTGATGAAGTAGAAGAATATTTTTTAAATATAGCTTTGAGTTCAACAAGTAATGAGACAGAATTTCCTGCTGAGTGTTTTATTACATACAGTCTATTTAGCCAGGAAATCAATTTATAAACATATATGGATTTTATTTTTTAAACTTACAAAAACTTGCATTGATACAATGAACTTCAAAAAGCAATCTATACATCTTGAAATCACTAAGATGGCTATTTTAATGCCATGTCTTAACTAAAGCAATACAACACGTTAAAAACATGAAATTTTCAAGTATCAAATGCTTAGAAAACTAATAAATCCAGGTAGAATTAATGAAAACAAGCCCAGACATTTTGAACTTATATTATAGAACCCTATTTTAAGATTCCAAAATAGTATATAGAGAAAATTGAACTTCTGTGATATATATTGATCAATAAGTAATACACGAAAGCTAATGCGACTCAGGACTTTTCTGAGATGACTTATAAACCAAATTCACTTATTAAAGAGTTTTACTTCAAAACCAATTTAAAATTTAATTTAATTCTATCTAAAAAAATTCATTAATCAATCCAAAACTAAGTAATATATTGTAATTATAATAATAACAAATGAATCTTTAGAAACGATTTCCTGTAGTTACACAAAAATTGGTGGGACTAGTCATATTTAAACAAAACTGAAGTGTCTTAAGGCAACACAGTTAAATAATATATGGATGACAGAAATTTTCAATCCCAAAATTTTCATCTACTGTATGTTAAAATGTTTATCACACCACAAAATTACAAAAGTAACAAAATAGATAAGAAAAAATAATTATAAAATAGAATTATTGACCATTTGGTTTACTCTAAGAAAATCAGAATTATTAGGGTTTTTAATCATTACAAAGAGAAGAATTATTTCATACATTTTTTTTAAGTTTATGATTTATTTTGAGAGAGAGAGAGAGGGAGAACATGAGCGCGAGCAGGGGAAAGGCAAAAAGGGGGAGAGAAAAAATCCCAAGCAGACTCTGCTCAGCATGGAGCCTGATGCAGGGCTCAATCATAAGCCCTGTGACAAGATCACAACCTAAGCCATAATCAAGAGTCCATCACTGAACCGACTGAGCCACTCACTCAAGAGCCCCAATTCACATAATTTTTAGGTGATTGTTCTGTGATCCTAACAAATATACAGTGTAATTCCAGAGCTTACTCGTTCTCTGCATGTTACTATTTACCTGGTTGGTCACTGTAATGGGCTGCATACAACTATGGCCACCAACATTCTTTCCCATTTTACACATACCATTCCTACAATTGAGATGTGCAATTTCTCCACCCCTTTAATCTGAGCTGACCTTGTGAATTGCTCTAATCAACACCATGAGGCTGATTATTATATATGAAACGACATTCCTGGACTTCAGATTCAAGCAAGTCCTTAACAGGACTGGCAGCCTTCACTTCTCTCTCCGAACCCTCAGACCACCATGCTGTGAGATACCAATCTAGCCATCTGGACATGTCACATGGAGAATGAAGGGTGTCTGGCTGAAACCTCAACCCAACCACCAGCCGAATGTAGCTTCACAAATGATCACTTCTGAGATAGCAGAATCATGAGAAAAAAGAATTGCTATTGTGTTAAGCCACTAAGTTTCAGGATGATTTGTTACACAGGAATGGGAAAGTGAAACGATCAGTTTACTTTCCTCATATGGTCTTAACCCTTACTTCAGGAAATATCTAACTTCAAGCACAATCCTTGTATAGCCGCCAGAACCCAGATAGAACATATTAAAATAAAATGAGTTAACAGGTATGTGATATAATCCAAAACAACTCCTCTCCATCTCTTGCCTTTTCAGGGAAAGCACTGAAGCCAGATATTTCTGCCAAATCTGATCATGGACCTGAAACATCAAGGGCTTTGTCCTTGGGGTCCTAACATGGAAGGCAGTGTGTGTGCTCACATATCACACATCCAGACTTATATGAGACATGTTATCAATGTTTCCTCATAGTCACTGTTGTATATTACATGCTTTTCTGTTTTTGTCCTGGTTGTTCAGAACCATCTATAAATATGACAATTAAAAGTAGCATGAACAGGATTAACAGTGGTTTGATCATGTTTTTAAAAAAAATTTGCATATATAAAGGCATAAGCAGGAAAAACATATTTTTAATGAATATCTGAATGACTAGGTGGAAGACAATATTCTAGTCTCAAATTTAATGCTGACAGAGTATCCCTATTCAAGTCACTTAACTTCTTTATGCCTTATTTTACTGAACAATTAGAATGATAATACCTGTCCTGACATACATCACAGGAAATTTGTTCAAATAAATGAGATAATATATAAGAAGGCACTTTTGAAGACTACCCGAGAGAGTAGTTAATGACACATGAGAAAAATGTAAGGCATAGAATACAGGAGTTGGAGAAGAATTTAGAGGTCAGGCTATGCAACATCGCTTCCGCATTATCATTCACCTTGTGCTTGACCTACATTGTAAAGGCAGGTCATTTCATTTCCAGACAGCTCTAATTGTTAGTAATGAGTTTAAATAATCTGTGTCCTTGTCACTTCTGCTCTTTGGCCTTATTTCTTTCCTCCAGAGCACCACAGAACATTTCTATTCAACCCCCGATTCAATTCACTACAAAAGCATTTTGTCAGGAATTGAACTAAGACGTGGGCTACAGATATGAACAACACATTAGTAAGACAAGGTTGTGCTCTGATATCTCTCACAGGCTAGCGGAGACATATAGATGACAATAAATTAATGTCTTTCAGTGTGGTAAGAGCTGACTGAAACTATAAGGATGAGGCAGAGACACAAAAAGAACACAAAAGAGGCAGTGGTCCACTCACCTAGGAACATCAGGCAAGCTTGCACAGAGATGGCATCCCTACAACTGAGTCTTGAAAGACAATTATGGGAATAAGTTTGAGGAAATATTAACAAAGTGAATTTGTGAGGAAAGGTGAACATTAACAACTCAAGCATTTGCTAAAATGCTCCCATTATTTTCTTTTTAATTTTTTAAATTTATTCACTTATTTTGAGAGTGAGAGTAAGCAGGATAGGGGCAGAGTCCGGTGTGGGGCTCAAACTCACAAACTGTGAGATCATGACCTGAGCCAAATCGAGAGTTGGATGCTTAACTGAGTGAGCCACCCAAGTGCTCCACTTCAGTAAAAATTCTTTTTTTTTAATTTTTTTAACGTTTTATTTATTTTTGAGACAGGAAGAGACAGAGCATGAACGGGGGAGGGTCAGAGAGAGAGGGAGACACAGAATCTGAAACAGGCTCCAGGCTCTGAGCTGTCAGCACAGAGCCCGACGTGGGGCTCGAACTCACGGACAGTGAGATCGTGACCTGAGCCAAAGTCGGACGCTTAACCGACTGAGCCACACAGGCGCCCCCCTCAGTAAAAATTCTTAAACAGTCTTTGTATGAACTTCATGGTATACAATTTACAAATCCACTCATCCCTCAAACTGGTATCATTTTTCTAAATGTTACAAATCTGAAGAAGAATGAAGAAGAGGAAGAGAATTAACAAACCAAGACCTGGACACAAATTCATCTTTTGTTGAGACAGCCCAATACTGCACATTGTTCATTGGGTGGAAAGCAGGGTAGAGGAAAGCAACAGAAAAAAA